GCTTAAATAGGCTTCTTCGATATTGCATGCACATGGTTTGAACATCAAATTATGAGGTCGCCGAAAACCACACAAAACCCACCCCAATATATGTTGGTCACGTGATTGATATTTAGGTATTTATGAATATATGGACAGGACAAACTTTTGGACAACCATTGTATGTATGCAGAGTCAGAGTGTCTCAGTAAATATATTTCATGGTTTGTGACATTGTGCTAAATATATATAGGTGGTTTAAATAAGTAAAATCTAATTATTGCGATGTCTGTATATAATCATATGTTTCAAAAATTGGCAGTTTTGAAGTTTAAATGCTGTGGCGATGTTAAAAATCTTTGTAGATTTCTCGACTGTTGACAATGTCTTTCTTGAGCCGTCTGAGAAATTTAAAACGCTGGCTGAAAAAGGTCCATTTTACGTTCAAGCTAGGCCACTCGAGTTTCACCTGTGCTTACACGAAAAATTCATACAAGTTGCTTTAATATTGCATGCAATTTTTTTCATTTACAAGCATATCATATTGCAACTTTAAATTTTGTATTCATCATGCTATAATAATACACCCATGGACAGACAGACAGTTGAAACATTAAACACACGAATTAGATCGTAAATTGTTATTACTGAAATTACTAAGGGTTTATCTAAATGAGTGAAAAAAGTAAAAACACCTTTATTTACAACATATCACATTGCAATTTATGACAAGACGACTCAGACTTCAAACACGTATGCGAACTTTGCCATATATTATTGGTTTTTACTAACGGTTCAACTAAATAAGTTATAAAGTTAGCATTCTTAGAAAAGAAACAACTTTTCACTTTGTCGGCATATTATTTATATTGCAAATTTTTAATTGTTGACTCAGTTCAAATGCTGTGAGACTTCTTTATCTTGTAGCAAGATGATTGCCAAGCTTCTTCTCTTTCGTGCAGTGCATAAACCCCATTCAAGAGGCTATTTCGTTTGACCTCATAGCTGCTAAAATAATTAAAAACTAAATTTCATGATCTCAGCATCTCATATTTTAAATAGTTAGTTGCTTTATGTCTATACTAAAGTGGAAAGTTATTACCACCACGCTTCCTTAGTGTGTAAATATTAGCAAAATATTCACGTTTGGAAGAAGTTATAAAGATATTCTCGGTTTTATATCCAACTGTTTGTACAAATGTCATATAATTATTGCCGGCGATAGTTGGGGTGAATTTGTATTGAAAATACACCTATCATGAATACTTCAGTATATTTATTTCATCGTGAAAGCGCCACTCTCTGCAACACTGTTTTCGACTATTTTGATAGCTTTTTTATTTAGCTAATGATATTACGAGAATATCATCATTTTTTTTAAGATTACAGAAACTGTATTTACTGTTGGACAGGGTATTGTGGCGTAGCTCTGGGAAACAGGAAACCTTAAGGCCCTGTCACACTGTTGCGTATGATAGGAACGTATGAGTCGCGTATAAAGATCATTTCATTCATTTTTATACGCACGAAAAAGTCTGTAAAAATAGGACATTTTGCATAAAATTAACTTATTAAACGTATGAGTATCGTATGAGTAGCCTGTCGCTGGCGTATGCCAGCGTATGAATAGCTTACGAGAAGCGTTTGAAATGCGCATGTCAAGCATACCAATGGCGTTTCACAGACTTTAATCGTATATAAGCGGCAGTATTTTCACACGGCTCCATTCGAGAAAATGTCAAACCTACAGTGAAAAAAGAAGACATCGTGGCAAATAAGAAGACATCATCTACCCGCGGACGAAGAAAAGGAAAGAGGACTCCATCATCAGCCGTTGCCAAAGCTGACGAACAACGTGTTTGTGCACCTGCAGATGCAGTTGAACCACCTGATGATGATGCACTTATTCCTGAGACATCTTTAAATAATGCGCGACATGTTCCTGAGCTCTCAAAGTCCCCAACACAACCTTCCCAAGACTCCATAATTCATCGGCTTTATCATCTGAAACCATTGATGACTTCACTTCCTTCCGGCGGGCTGATAGCAAGGAGAAAAATAAGAGGAAGAGGGCGAAAAAAAACCCTACAACCTCAGCGCCACAGAAGAGGAGCTGATGCTGGAGTTTATCATGGACAATCCTGTGCTGTGGAATGTGAAAATGACAGATTATAGGCGAAAAGACAAGAAAGAGAAGATCTGGGAAGAGCAAGCATACATCAGATGAATAAGACTGTTGACATCCTCAAGGGCTGGTTCAGATCGCTGCGCGACACCAATACGCGCCTTGACAAAAAGAAAAGCGGGGATAGTGCTCCAAACCTGACTAAGAGAGAACAGTGGATCCTCTCAAAGTTTGCCTTCCTGAAGACTGTCACTCGCCACCGACCGGAGCCCATGCAGAGTGTAAGTATACAACCATATTACCTTAGCAACATGATAACCAAGTAATTTGAGACAATTTCCACATGATATTTTTGGTTTTTTAGGTGAAGGAAACCATCCAGCTTCACAGAGGAGATCTCAATGCTGCCGAGAGCGCCTGCGCTGATATGCAGGATGTCTTAGATGAAGTCACTCCAATACCATCATCTACCGCTGGAAGGTCCCACAAGCGACCTCAGGACACAGAGAGTGACGTCCTTGAGACTCTACAGAAGAGAGTTGCTGAGTCTGGCACCATCCTCAAAGACATCTACAAAGCTAAACAACAGCCCATTACAGCACGAAGTGTCTTTGCAAATTATGTTAAAGAGAGCCTTTTGACTATGTCCAAGTCCAAGTACAAGAAGGCAAGGTCCTCCATCAATAGGTTATTGTCTGAACTCATGGATGAGGACAGCGATGATGAATTTCCAAGTGCAATGGCGGCTCCATCTATCAAAGTGAACCAACAAGGGATCCCTTCTCAACCACCCCACGATTTGCACCCCACTACAAAGTCACCCGAACATTACTAGTCTTTCAGGATTTCGAGACATCATGGAATCTACTGATGATATTGGATTTCAGGATGAGGTTCTCAACCTTAACCACCAACGTGAAAGAAGTATTGACTATAGACCACGGCGGCTGTATGGCTTCATCATTGTCTCTCGGAGGGCAAAGGCATCGTCACCTACAAAGAAGTAGGGGACACTCTGATAGTCTTTGGTAAAGCATCGGGGATGGGGAATCCTATAGTTCCGTCTTCTGTTAATTCTTGATTTCAGAGTTGTTGTAGATCTGTGCGTCCGATGATGACCCTTTACCACCGAGGTCTACCCAGATGAATTTATAATCTGCGTCTACAAGGCCCATGAGTACAACAGAGTAGAATCCCTTTTAGTTGAAATATTGGGATCCACTTTTTGGTGGACATTTGCAGGCAATGTGCTTTCCATCTATAGCACCACATGTATGGGGGAAGTTCCACCTCTTGAGGAACTTATCAGATATGGCACGCCATCCCTCTGGCGTGGTAGGGCAGGTCATTACTTCGGACATGTATTCGTCGATGATGGCTTGGCAAACCTCTCTGACAATAAGTGACTGGGTGTTGTGGGGGACCCTCCATCCGTACTTCATGGCTGAATACGTGCTTCCAGAGGCAAGGTGTCGCAAAGTCAAAGAGAGCTTCAGCCCAGGCTCCAGGGGTCGCCTATACCAGGTATGTTTCTTGGTGATCCTGCAGGGACTCACTCTTGCTAGAAGCTCATCAAACATCTCGGGGACCATCCGCATAAAGTTCTTGAAACATCGCGTATCCTCGCTTCGGAGTTCCACCAGAAGTTGGTCGTAAATGCCAAACTACCTTCGCCTTCCGATCCATAATCTCATCCATACCTCACGTCTTTTTCTTTTTCTTTTTCTACTTTTCCTTCTGTTATTTTCTATGTGACGAATCGTCAAAGCTATGAGATCAAACTGGTATTCAAGAACAGCTAACTCCATTCTTTATCCTCGAAGGTACAAGATGATATGAAGGCATCCAACATAAATATATATTATACAAAAATGACATGCTATAATATATATACCCTTTCTCGTAACGTTTGCAATACGCTGAAGATACGACGACCAGGCGTTAACTATACGCTAATTGTACGGTAAATGCGTTATTTAATCGTCAGTCATACGCTAAGCCCTCTATAGACGTTAAACATACGTCACACATAAGTTAGACCTTCGTTACTGATGCGCTATCAACACGTTAGTTGTACGGCACACTTACTCATTTGCGTATGATTAGCGTACTCAACCTATTAGTACAGTACATTTAGCGTCCTTCTGCCGTATTCAGCGTATGACTAGCTTATCTTTACCGTATAAACCATACGTCCAAACACGCACAAGATTTTTAAGCATGCTTAAAAAAAATTTTCTTCCTCGGCGTATATCAGCGTATGTGACCGTGCTTGGAACGTGTATAACTTACGCACGACGTACCACCAACATATTTCAGCGTATTCCGGCGTATGCGTAATATTTATCATACGCTGCCATACGCTAATGCGATACGCAACAGTGTGACAGGGCCTTTACCACGCCACATTCAGAGGAAAATACATATATTATGATAAAATATATTTAGAGGCGATCCGGCAGAAAAATTACTTTTGTGCTTTTATTTTAATAACACAGATACAGTAGTTTATAGACCATTATAAGCCTTAGTAATAATTATGCTGATATAAATTTATATTATCAGTCACATAGTCTAAGTGATGGGGAGAGCCTGGGTGCTGCGTCCATAAAATATTTTACGTGCATTACCAATGGAAACTTTATTTGTGATGATATTTTTGGAACGCCTAGAATTAGCGTGCTACAATGTTTTAAATGTGCATATAATGTCACTGTTTATGTATGCAAACTCGTAATCTTTGACTATACAAATGCTGGAATATATTTCTACGATATATTTCGATCTGCCAATATTGAATACACGCGTACAAACTATGCAAGAAATTGTCACGTTTTTACAACCCATAAGTTAACTTAATCATGACTGGAAGGTAGCGTTTTATTTTACTGGTTGATCATTGAACGAGAATGTATCCAAACGTCAAATCGTGATTCCTCCAATAAACATTTCCACAAATCTTTTCATTGATCTGTGTTCCATAGCCAATCCAAGAATCACACGTACGGCAATCGTTCTCGTTATTGGCAAAAAGTCCAATTCGCATTTTGGAAAGTACATTAAACCCTTCTCTGTTGCAGTTTTTCTGAAGTGACGAGTCCACGATCAGGGATTTCCATGCTGCTCTACCAGCGGTCGTTGCCCTGAATTGTCCGTCCGCGATCACACTGTACAGCGAAGTTGCGGTGTAGTCGAAGGTCATCCATTTTCTCGTATTCTTATACGACATACCCAGGCAAATCTTTGTGAACGGAGTATTCCAATACGAAGCCAACTTGCTTTCTTTCTCTGTCAATCCTTCCAGACCATCTTGTGCTGCGTATGTCTCTTTGTTTGTCCACAGGGAAGAAAGATACAAAAATGTATTCTGTTTAAAATTGAAAGTTGTTTAAAGATTAGAAGATTAGAAGTTTAAGATTAGAAGTGAACACACACTATACTCTTTACGACTACAATCTAACCTTAGTCCCATTAAGTTTCATCACTAGCGTCCAACCTCCAGCGCCACATCCTGGGATATCTGTCATGTGACAATATACCTTATATGGTGGTGAGGAATGATTCTGCTGCAAGGTGTAGACACCATTGGGCAATGATCTAGATAGGCAACTGATATTAAATACTTATGCGGTGTGCCTAGAAGCTAATTTATTTATATTGTGATATCACCGTTCAAAATTACAAGGAAATGGCTATATGATAGATATGGTTATAAAAAATTCTGCTGGAATAAAGGTTGAAATCCACTGACTGTATATATTAGACCTTCGCGTCCACCTGTATATCTTTGACTTACGTATTCCTGCCAAACAATTCCGTGCAAGATTGAGGAAAAGCGTTTTGTTGTTTTTCTAAAAACATAAATATACAATATAGGAGGGGGTGTTTTCATTTTGGTCGCTATAACCTCAAAAAATTTAATTACCTGAAAAAATATTATTTTCTTGCTTTAACCCAACCTAAAAAGCGACAAGAATAATTCTTCACATGGACCCATAAAAGCAACAGTGGCGTACCGTCAAACAATTTTGTGGGACGGTACTACAATTTGCCGTCTCTAAAGCTGGTTTTCTACTAGCGATGTATTTTGCGTGAGGCGAATTTATTTTTTTAGATTTGAGCAATTTGTTCCAGATGGTTGCAGTTGAGAGCTCTGAAATAAAAGTAAAATGTCGCTTCACGCGAAAATTATCGTTATATATAGTGGAAAATGGGCTCAAGACGATGTCAATAGACACTTTAAGACCTCATTTTGCAATTAGCTTCTCCGATATTGGTGCTATTGTCGGTAGTCGTTGATGAGTGAAATGCTTATTTATTACTCTGAAAATTCGCCTCGGTTTTGTTTTTTTTTGTTGTTTTTTTTTTGTTTTTTTATATTATTTTTCGTCATCGCAAGTCTGAAATGGCGCGAAATGTGTATGTAACCGTATTTATCTACGTCCCAGTCCTATCTCCCAAGAGTTGTGGTGTACACCTTTCCGATGCGCGATTCGATTTCGCTCGCATAATACGGCAATTCCTCCAAGAGGAACAAATAAACCGTTGTTTTCATGCTGTTCGATTAAGTTTAGATTGAATTGGGGTAAGAATATATTTAATACTTGTAGATTCTGGTCCTATTTTAATAGTATGGCTGCTATTTCGCCGTTTAACAAGATGATGTGGTCGTGTATGGGCGCGTTGACACGTCGTAGTTTGCACAGGATTGAAGATTTGATATAACTATATAAGCGCGAATTTCAAAGGCAAAGTGTAAGACAAAGCAAATGTATCATGCCGTTTATTTACATTTTTGAACAATTGAACTTCTATACTTTTTAAAGTACGATAGGTTCAATAGGTTCGCAACTCGCAACTGAAACATATGTACTAAATGCGAATATGAACTGTATTGTTTATGTTCAGAAGCTCTTTATTAAAGACTGGCACGTGCGCCGGAGTTAACGCCAGAACAGGCGTCTTGTTTTTAATAGAACCAGGCTTAAGTTATAAAAGTTATACGTAATATCGTAAAAACGTAATATCAAAGCCTAAAGACGGTTTTCCCTTACGTCCTCTTGCGAAGCGCGCTCTGTTTTTAAACCCATCACGCCCGCATTAGCAGATTTTCAAAGGCTGTTTCGCCCGCGGAAAAAGCGAATAAAATGCATGAAACAGCCTTAAATTACCTGACAAAAAGAACGTTCGTCTGAAGATGTGTTTTATCGCTCAATTTAATTTATTTAAGTTCTAGGTAACAATTCATCGGTTATGCGAGTTAATCTATAGCTCATCATCATCTATTTAACTTCATTTCTATCTCCTGTATGCATAATGTAGTAATTCACATGAAAAAGAGCCGAATATAAATTTTACTGTCAGTTGGAATTACTGTATTTTACCCTTTGCCTATTTTATTACGGTATTTCAAAATTAAGAATCGCAGTGTTTTAAAATTCAATTTCGAAGCAAGAACTACGATAATTCGATGACGACACTAATTTTGCTTTAGCTGTCAGGGTATTGAATGGCCGAAATACTCCGTTCTTTCTTTGTGGAAGAAATTTCCACCATTTATCTGTAAGAAACACTCTATATATTTACTTGTTTCATCGAGTGATAATCTTTCCATGAGAAACTAATCTATTCTATACCGTGCATGTCCGTCGTCATAACCGCATAATATATGTAAAAAATTCATGTTAATGCTTACTGGTTTTATTATGACAAGATGATTGAATTCATCGTTTGTCTTCTCATTATCATCGGTTGTTGCTTCCATTGTCCTTTCGTTGAGTTCACACCGTCCTTTATCTTCACCCGAAGTTTTGTAGTTCGCTGACGCACATGATCCATGACGAGCGCAAAGCAAGCCACATTCAAACTCGGACTTTGCTTGTTTTGTTTCGATGACATGATTCGCCAAGTATTTTTGCTTATTTTTTCGAAAAACAGCTTGCTCTATGCATTCGCCCAGGACAAACACGAGAAACAGCAGAGAAATTGTTGAAAGGACACTCATTGCAAGGCAGGTTGACCGTTTTGAACGCACAGTCATAAAAAAGATAGTTTATACAGTCGAACAATTGGCGGTTAATCAAAAGAAACTCTTAAGTGGCTTTTCATTTAAGGGATAGGCTAAATGTAAGTGTTGCTAAAGATTTATAGTGAAATTTACACAGTGTTAATGGACCTTATGCGCTATAGATTAATTTTAGATCTGAGCGGCAAGGAGAAAAATATATATTACCATATAGCTATAAAAAGAGCGTACAAAGATTAGTATAATTGCAAAGATTAGTCGCGAACTTTTGTAAAAATGTGGAAAATATTTGCCGCACAAAGTAGGCAAATTTTGTATATTTTTTACGTGCAGTATTTATACGGGCAGAAATGCGTGTAACTAATTTAGTACACACACTCCGGCCGTAATAGAAAATTGTACAAATATATACAAAATTTGCAACTTCGCACAACTAAATTCCCTATACTATAAAACATTTCGTATGCAAAATTTAATTTACTTAAATTTACAAATTTTAATGAATGCTCTTTCCGAAAATTTCATTTTTACCGCCTGGCTAAAAATTGATCTATAGAGCACATAAGCTCCATTATATCTTAATTATGTTAGTTACTAGTTACTATCTTCAAAGAAGAACAGTATACACATATATATATATATATATATATATATATATATATATATATATATATATATATATATATATATATATATTTGTTTAGTTTACGTTGATTATGTTGGGGAGTAATTGTATTTCAGTTGAATATTTTTGCTAATCAAGTTGCGTGCAGTTTCTTAATAAGTTGTAAGTGTAAATAAGTGTTTATCCACACTAAAATCGCACATAAAATCCGAGCAAAAATTGCGAGTGTAAACGGGCCTTGAAACATTTCTCAGGCAAACTTGGCAATTTTACTAATTTGAGTACCTATGTTTTTTCCGAAAATTTCCTTTTTACTGCCTGCATGAATAAAAAATTGATCTACATTGCGTATAAGCTCCAATATATCTTAGCTAAAATTATGATAGTTACTTATATTCAAAGAAGAACAGTATAGCTGGGGAAAGATACGTTGATCACTGTTCGGGAAATAACATTTTAGTTAAATTTTTTTTGTTGCAAGTTGGGTTATAGTTTCTTATTTCTTAATAAGTTGTGTTTATAGTGTTTATAAACTCACTTTAATTAAATTTCTTGGCAAATACTCAGTACCCCGATGTCCGAAACATGTCAACAATAACTTGAAAGAAACGACCGTGCTCCTCTAAAGCGGCTAACAATTGTTACTTTGAGAATTGACAAAATTTTTCAATTCGTACTCTGGATATATTTCATGGTTTGCGACAATTGTGTTAACTATAGACGGTTTAAATATGTTAAAATCAAATTATCATGATGTCTGCGTACATGAGTAAAATATTTCGTTAGTATATCTTTGCAAAAGCGGCAGTTTAGTTTAATTAAATGCAGTCATTGTTGCATGCAATTTTTTTCATTTACAAGCATATCACATTGTAAGCTTCAATTTTATATTTACCGATGGCAAGACAGACAGTTCAAACATCAATCACACGAATTAGACTTCGAACACGATTTAGCCCATAAATTGTTGTTAATTTACTTACGGCGTGGACACTCTTTTAGGAGGCAATTTTGTTAATACGTGGTTTAAATAATTAAAATCGAAATTTGCCCTTTGTTGCCATATTATATTTTAAATGCTGTGAAACTAGTTTATTTTGTTGTGAGATGATTGACAAGCTTCTTTCTCCGTCATGGGTTGTGTTCCAAATTAACGCGACGCTGCCTGATAAACGATTCTGCTAATTTCAAGGTGCAAGCAATTTCTGCATTTACAAACTTATCACATTGCATTAGAAATTTACTTTGAATTTGTATTTATCATGCATATGTAAATAACTACTGTTTAAAATACACCATGGGAAGACAGACAGACAAGAATTACAAGAACAATTTTTAGTAAACTACAAACGTTTTATCTAAATGAGTGATTATAATGGAGGCTCCTTTGAAACTACTTAAAATCAAATTTGCATTTTTCCAGCATATCATGCATATACATATTTCTTAAAATTAACAACGCTAGCTGAAAATCGACCCGACCGAGTCCTAACTGTGCATGTTATAAATTGTCCAACATCCTGAATTAATTGTTGCAACGTGCCTTCGTTTAAAACATATCACATTAAATAACTTATAATAAGTCAGCTCAAACTGCAAACACACGACTGATTAGGCCATGTAAATTCTTGGTAATTTTCTAACGGTTCGTCTGAATACGTCAATAAACAGTCTTTCAAGAGGCCATTTTCTTAATACATGGTTTAAATAATTAAAAACAAATTTGCACTTTGTCGGCACATCATATTTTAAACATTTAGACGCTGACTTAGTTCAAATGCTGTGGAACTAGCTTATATTGTATAGTAAGATTATTGACAAGCTTCTTTCTTGTTCAATTTGTGTTAGAAATTAACACTGCCGCCTGATAAACGGTCTTGTTACGTTCA